AAAAAAAAAAAAAAAGATTATTTATTTATTTATTAGCTGCTGGTTCTTAAGGACTGGAGCTCCTGCTGCACTTTTTCCCTGAAGCCTGGTACTCTACCATTTGACCACAGCTATACTTCTGGCTTTCTGCTCATTAACTTGAGATAGGAGTCTCATGGATTTGTCAGCCTGGACTGGCTTCAAATTTTGATCCTCAGATTTCAGCCCCTTGGGTAGCCAGGCTTAAAAATTGATTTTTTAACATTTTACCCCCAAATATAGTAAGTTAGTGAGGTGACAACTATAACAATCTTTGAGTCTTTCTACATAGACCACTACATCTCATTGTACCCCAAATATGCACTGTTATTATTTTTTATTGAAAGATAAATTAATCTGAGAAGAGGCAGAAAGCACTAAGAAAGCGCATTTATTTATACCATTGCCATCTGGAAGGTGCTGTTCGTGTTTGGTTGCTGCAGAGTCTGGAGATCGATTGGGGCTGTCCCTGCTGAGACGTCTTTCTGGACTCTGTGATATAGGGTCTTCTGCACATCTCTGCTCACCTGGGCAGCACAGGCAACCATAAGATTACACACCACACATCTGCGCACAACCTGGCCCCAGGGTTGGCAGCACTAAACAAATCAGCCATCCTTTTACTACAGTGGTAAACTAGTTACCAACCCACCCACTCACTGGGTGTAGTTACATCTTAATCATCTTTATGCTTCTGCTTAGTTCAGAGCCTTGCCCACAACAAGGAGTCAACAGTGTCTACTAAACAAAAAGCAAGCAGGCTGTGGGAGATTTATTTAAAGACATAGGTCCAAAGGGTACCCATCTCCATAGAAGCCTAATTCTGCAGCTAGTTAAATCACAAAGTCAGGGAAAGACCTTTTGCAGCTCTGAGAAGCTCAAGCTCCATACAGGATCCATGCTTGCAAAAAGCCAAAAGTGGAGCTATGGCTCAAATGACAGTCTACCAGCCCTTAATGGATAAGATGACACTTGAGTTCAAGTTCAGACCTTGAGTTCAAGTTCCCGTATGGCACAAAAATAAAACCTCCAAAAATAGCTGGATACAGGTTCATACCTGTAATCCTAGCTACTCAGGAGGCTGAGATCTGAGGATAACAGTTCAAAGCCAGCCAGAGCAGGAAAGTCCATGAGACTCATACGTCCAATTAACCACCATAGAACCAAAAGTGGTGCTGTGGCTTAAAGTACTAGACCACTCCTTGAGCAAAAAAGTTCAGGACAGTGCCCAGGCCCCAAATTCAAGCCCCACAACTCACACACCCACTCTCTCTCTCTCTCTCTCTCTCACACACTCACACACACACACACACACACACACTAAAAATACAGTACTTAGGTACTTCCTCTGTGGCTAACAAACCCAAAGCAACCAATATTGAAATCTGACTGCAATATATTTCCTACTAACCCTTGAATACATACCAAAACTCAATCACTACCATTATACTTAAGTTCAACATGTCTGTTCCCAAGAGGATCAGCTCCTGAAGGGCAGGAACCACATCTGAGTTTCACAACTAAATGTCCTAACTGTGGTCAGAACAAAGACCAGGACACCCCCGGCCAGTTTCCACAGTGGTTCCTGGTTCACCGACAGCTGCCGCTCCGGCAATCTGGCATGCACACTCACTGTGTATGGGGACCTGGTGAACAGTCATGGTCTCATCCTTGTATTCCGGGGCGGTGTGTGGTCGCACAGCTAAAAGAAAAAACGCCAGTCAGGAAGAATGTGCCAGTCAGGAGAAAGGTGCACGTCAAGAGAAATGTGCAAGTCAGGGGGAATGCACAAGTCAGGAGAAACACAGTAGCAAATGTGTGCAAATGAAACTTCCCAAACCGTCAAACTCAGCAACTGAACTGGTCCAGAATTACAGTAGGAATTGGTCAATAAAACCAGAATTTTTCATTTCACATCAATGAAGCATTTGATTAAGCTTTGATTTAAGCTAGCCTCTAATAGTTCTTAATAGGAAAAGCAGGGCCTAAATAAGAAAGAAGTACCAGATACATACCCAGGTCTATGCCTTTTAAAGGACCTGAAAATATTTTAATTGCTTCTAGGTATTTTTCCTAAAAAATAAATAAATAAATATAAGAAAATGAGCAAGTTAAATATAGAAACCAACATATATTCAAACATGTCAGTAGATCCAAAAGCTATTAACATGAAGCAAACACTTCATTAGTGTTTCAAACTTCAAACCTCAATATACAAAGAGTTATTTTTTTTTTGGGGGGGGAGTCCGGTCGTGGGCCCTGAACTCTGGGCCTGGACGCTGTCCCTCAGCAATTCCGCTCAAGGCTAGCACTCTACCACTTGAGCCACAGCACCACTTCCGGCTTTTTTCTTTTTGCTTATGTGGTGCT